TTGTTTTTCCTCCAATTTAAGTTTTTTTTATCCTTGTGTGTGTGTGCGAGTGGGTTTTTGTCTGGAATAACTGGGCGAGTGAGAGGAACTGCAGGAGAAACAAGGCAGGGGACCAAGGTAAGGTCTCGGAAGGGATCCCAATGGCAGACCAGGAGATGGCCTTGGCAGGAGTCACGGGTGTTGCTGTCCGCTGCGAGAGCTGCGACATGTTTGCCCTTCTCCCCCAGGAGAGGCAGGGATACACTTGCCCTCGGTGCAAGATGGTGACCCTGCTAGAAGAGGAGGTGAGGTGCCTGAGGGCCGAGAGAGCTCTCCTGGCCCCCCCAGAGCAGCCCCCCTCTGGACAGAGGGTTGAGGGAGAGACCACGGGAGGAGCAGCTGCAGAAACATGGAGGTATGTCACCCACAGGAGGAGGAGGCCTGCACGGCCTCCTCCTTCTCCTGGCACCAATCTGAAGCTGGGAAACAGGGTCTCTCCACTTGGGGAGGCTGGGGCTGATGAGGCCTTGGGGGACCAGCAGGACCCCCAGTCTGGGACGTCAGATGGCAAGGGGGCTGCTGCAGGAGAGACGAGGGCCAGGGCACGGCTGCCCACCAGCACCGGGAAGGTACGGCGGCGGGTGATTGTTGTTGTGTACTCCCTGCTGAGGGGCACTGAGGTGGCAGTGTGCCGCCCCAACCTGGGGACAAGGGAGGTTTGCTGCCTGCCGGGTACACGCATCTGGCAGGTGAAGGACAGAGTGGAGCGTCTTGTTCGCTCCGGGGGTCACCAGCCGCTCCTGGTGATCCATGTGGGCACAAACGATGTGGCCAGGCAGAGTGTGGCTGGGACCACCAGGGACTTTGAGGCATTGGGGAAGAAACTCAGGGAACTGAAGGCCCAAGCGGCCTTCTCGTCAATCTTACCTGTCCAAGGATTTGGGCCAGGAAGGGACAGGAGGGCCTCCGAGGTGAACGACTGGCTTAGGGTGTGGTGCCAGAAGGAAAGCTTCAGGTTCCTTGACCACAGCACTCATTTTCTTGCCAATGGACTTCTGGCAAGGGACGGGTTACACCTCACGAGGATGGGGAAAAGGTCCTTTGGAGATGCTCTAGCGAGCTTCGTCCGGAAGACTTTAAACTGAGCCGGGGGGCAGGGTTCAGGCCCCCCAGTAACGTGTCTGCACTGGACAAGTGTGGGGGGGGGATCAGGGCTCTGGGAGCAGGGTTTTAGAGATACTGCAGGGACTGACAGGACTCCTACAGAGAGGGGCCAGGTATCAGGGAGGATAGGAGGAAGGAGGAGGCTGGGAACTCCAGGGAAAGGAAGCGGTGGTAAGGAGTTGAGGTGCATGTACACCAATGCTAGGAGCATGGGTAATAAGCAGGAAGAGCTTGAAGCTCTCCTGGAAATAGGAGGGTATGATCTGGTGGGAATCACAGAAACTTGGTGGGGTGAAAGGTAAGTCTGGAATGTGAACATAGAAGGGTATCACCTTTTTAGACAAGACAGGAAGGGAAAGAGAGATGGGGGCGTGGCTTTATACGTCAGGGAAGGGATAGGATGCAGTGAGATAGAATGCAGCACAGATGGGGATTCGATAGAGGCAATCTGGGTGAAACTTAGGGGTTTTGACAGGGAAAGAGACCTTACAGTGGGGTATGTTATTGCCCTCCAGGTCAACTTGAGACCCTGGATGATGTCCTGACAGGCCAGATTCTAAGGATATCTCGGGGGAGAGACACAGTAATTATGGGAGATTTCACTCTCCCGGATATTACTTGGGAGACTCACTCGGCGGTGACAGCCAGGTCACCTCGCTTCCTAGAAGCTATAGAGGGAGGGTTTTTCACACAGAGGGTCCAAGAGGCGACGAGGGGGGAAACATCCTTGACTTGGTGTTGACCAATAGGGAGGAGCTGATAGATGAAGTACAGATTAGGGGAGCTCTGGATGCGAGTGATCACTCCATCCTTTGCTTTGAGATCAGGGGACTGGGGACGTGCAGTAGGTCGAGCACTAGAAGCTGGGACTTCAAGAGGGCCAACTTTGGCCAACTGAAGGCCAGACTGGGAAAGTCTCCTGAGATAAGTGACTGGAAGGTAAGCGAGTTGAGGAGGGGTGGATAGCACGCAAAAGGGAGGTTTTGGAGGTGCAAACCTTGACGATACCTCTAGTCAGTAAGGTGGGGAGGCAGAGGAGAGTGCCGCCATGGATGCAAAAGGGGGTGGTTAAAGGGATTAGACGAAAGAGGAACCTCTGTAGGAAATGGGTACTGGGGGAAATAGACAAAAGGGTATACCGGGAGGAGGAGGCCCGTTGCAGAAGGATTCTTCGCAAGGCTAAGGCTGATTACAAGCTGAGACTTGCCAAGAATATCAAGAGCAATAAAAAGGGCTTCTTTCAGCATGTAAATAGGAAGAGGAAGGGGAGACAAGTGGTGGGACCACTAAATAAGGAGGAAGGAGATCCAGTGACTGATATGAGGGAACAGGCACAGATGCTAAATGACTATTTTGCCTCTGTGTTCTCCCCAACGCAGGACGGGGGATATCCGCATAGGAGATTAGATGAGGCTGCGGACTTCGGGGCACAGATTAGAGTCACCCCCCTTGAAGTCAAGGGGCTTCTCAGGGCATTGGACATTACAAAGGAGCCAGGCCCTGACGGGTTACACCTGAGAGTACTTAGAGAGTTGGGAGGGGTTCTCTCACGCCCGCTGGCCTCCATTTTTGAGACCTCGTGGAGAATGGGAGAAGTTCCAGAGGACTAGAGGGTGGCATCAGTGGTCCCAATTTTCAAAAAGGGTAGTAGAAAGGACATGGGGAATTATAGGCTGGTTAGCCTTATGTCCATTGTAGGAAAAACAATGGAAAGGCTCATAATAGAGAGAGATCTAGTGATGCTAGATAGGGAAGGGAGGCTGACAGTCACACAACACGGCTTCTGCAAAAACAGGTCCTGCCAGACAAACCTTGTGGAATTCTATGACAAGGTTTTGCGATGGCTAGATGGTGGGGATGCAGTGGATGTGGTATATCCGGATTTCAGCAAGGCCTTTGACAAAGTGCCCCATGATATCCTGGTGGAGAAACTGAGGAGTTTTGGGATACACCAAAGCACTGTCCGGTGGATTAGGGCATGGTTGACTGACCGAAAGCAGAAGGTAACCATTAACAGGGAATCATCGGGATGGCGGCCAGTGACAAGCGGGGTCCCCCAGGGCTCTGTCCTGGGGCCGATCCTGTTTAATCTTTTCATTAATGACATGGAAGAAGGGGTGAACAGTCTGCTGATTAAATTCGCAGACGACACTAAAACTGGAGCAGTGGCCACAACTGAGGAGCAGGTACTCCAGATCCAAAAGGATCTGGACAGACTATGGAAGTGGGCAGGAGACAACAGGATGGCGTTCAATGTAGATAAGTGCAAGGTCTTGCACTTGGGGCATAGGAATAGCTGTCATAAGTACAGGTCAGGTGATAAGTGGCTGGAGAGCAGCACTTGTGAAAGGGACCTCGGGGTACTGGTTGACTGCAGGCTAAACATGAGTCAGCAGTGTGATGCGTGGTCAAGAGGGCGAATGCCACCCTTGGTTGCATAGCCAGAAGTGTGGCTTCTAGATCAAGAGAGGTATTACTACCACTCTACACGACTCTGGTGCGCCCGCAATTGGAGCATTGTGTTCAGTTTTGGGCCCCTCATTACAGAAAGGATATAGCCAGGTTGGAGTCAGTGCAGCGTAGGGCCACAAGGTTGGTGGCCGGTTTGCAGGGGATGCCATATGAGGTGAGACTGAGGGAACTGGGTCTCTTCAGTCTGGAGGAGACTCAGAGGGGATATGTTGGTGACATACAGGTATGTGAGGGGATGTCTCATGGAGATGGGTAGAGACCTGTTCTCCCCTGCAGAGGAAGGCAGGACACGCTCCAATGAGCAAAGCTCAGGGAGCCAAGGTTCCATTTGGATGCCAGGAAGCACTTCCTGACAGTCAGGGCCCCGAGGGTGTGGAATGGGCTTCCACGAGAGGTTGTTGAGGCCCCATTGGTGTGGGTGTTCAAGGATAGGCTGGACGTCCACCTGGTGGGCATGTCATGAGCGGAGCTGGCTGGTGCTGGAGGTCAGACTAGATGGCCCGGGAGGCCCCTTCTGACTCGCTCTGTTTTTATGTTTGTATGTCATCTGAATTAAATTCACCCATTCCTGTCCATTTTAGTTCACTGATGCCTAAAATGTTGATGTTCAGTCTTGTCATCTCTTGTTTGACCATGTCCAACTTTACCTGGATTCATAAATCTTACATTCCAGGTTTCTATGCAATATTATTCTTTACAGCATTGGACTTCCCTTTCACCACCAGATACATCCACAACTGAGTGTCCTGTCATCTTTGATCTAATCACTTCACTCTTCGTGGTGCTGCTAGTACTAGCCCTCTGCTCTTCCCCAGTAGCACTTCGGACACCTTCTGACCTGAGGGGCACATCTTCTGGCGTCATCTCTCTTAGCCTTTTGATACTGTCTATGAGATTTCCATGGCAAGGATACTAGAGTGGGTTGCCATTTCCTTCTCCAGTGAATCACCTTTTGTCAGGGGTCTCTCTGCTATGACCTGTCCATCTCAGGTGCTCCTGCATGGCATAACTTATAGCTTCATTGTGCTGCTCAAGCGCCTTCGCCATGGCAAGGCAGTGATCCATGAAGGGGTACTAAGTGATAGATACAACCAAAGTTTGTGCATATGAAGCTGGGAGCAAGTGCCTTTCCCTTTCCTCCTTTTCCTTTCTTCCCTCACATGCTGCATAATAACAAATCCTAGTTTATTAGACTGTCTTGTTTTACACAAAGTAGGCTCTGTACTTATTTCTAGCTTGTATAACTTGGACATGCTTAATCTTTGGGGGATTGTTTGCAGCACATTAATATAAGCTGCAATGTACACACTGGACTACTGCCTTGTTGAAAAGTAGATACAGCCTAATTAAAGAGTGGTTTTTTTTTCTTTCCTCCCTTTGTACAGGCTTCAGCAAACAAATAGTGGAAATCCTTAACAAGCATAATGTTGTGTTTAGCAGCTTTGATATATTTTCTGATGAAGAAGTCCGCCAGGGACTGAAAACTTATTCCAACTGGCCTACTTATCCACAGTTATATGTGGCCGGAGAACTTATAGGTGGACTGGATATTGTCAAGGTCAGAAAATGCAACCTTCTGTTCATCTGTTCATCTTTTTTGGTTTATTTTCAAGAGTTTACACGCAGTCCTGAGGTTACAAATGAGTTTTGCTTCTGAGAAAACAGAAATTTGTCTTTAAGTCAAATTTGTATGTAAGTTGAATCATGTATAGTTGGTCCTCCACATTCCTGGAGGTTAGGGGTGCCGGACCCCCATGAAAATGGATAAAAAGAAAATTAAGACCACCCCTTTACCCAAACTCACCAGTGCCACCTCTTTGCAGCAAGGAAATGTTGGAGGGATTTACCTCTTTAGAGGCCTCCCTCTCTACCCTTTTTGTTTCCTTTTTCTCTATCCTAATGATGATTTTCTGCAGTAAATTTTAGAGATTAATAGGCTTTATGGTAGCTTGTTCATAAGTATGAGTTGTTTGTAACTCGGACATTCATAACTTGGGGACAACCTGTACTTTTCTTATGAACTGAGAACTTATGAACATTTTCAGGAACTTGAGGCTTCTGGAGAACTGGATACAATTTGCCCCAAGGTACACAAATTAGAGGACAGGTATGATGCATATTACCTTCTATTGTTTCTTTTATCATGAGGAGAAATGGCATGCATTCCATTACCAAATTACATTTATTCCTTCAGAATTAAAGTTATTGCTGTTTTGGAATTTCAATGATTTTGTGAAAGGCAGCCAGCTGCTCCAGATCAGCTGGTCAGATACCATAACCCCTGGCCACTGACCAGTGGTAATTGATATTCATAATAATCTGAAAGGCTATAGGTCGTTCACCCCTGTACTAGATTGTAGGGGTCAACATATATCTGGTTACGCTTATAGGCTCAGACATTCCAGATGTATATATTCTATATATTGTTAAAACTTACTACCCCACCTTTGGTTTTATGTTCCCTGAAGGTGTCATATAATTGAACAAAAATGGAAAACAAATTTTATTACTAAATGAAAAATTACAAGAGCTCTTCATTACATAGTAGACAGCATCATAAAGAACATTTTAAAAGTATGGGGAAATAAATAGGTCTTAGCTTGGTGCTCAGGCATTTGCATTCTGGTAGAATATGTAAAGAGATCAAGTATCACAACCATCAAATCCTTTTCCTCTAATTTTTTTCTGGTTTCCACCTTGTGGAGCTTTCTAACCTTTGAAAAACAGCTTACTTTTGGGACATCCAGACAAAGATTGGCTAGTCTGGTTTCTGATTACTTTGTACATGCTTTGTACATCAGGGAACTCCTCACTCTGATGGGCCCAGGTGTTCATTGTTTTACTTGGCATTATTTTATGAAGCATTTTTGTATGAGTAATACTTACAGATCACTTAACATAATACATTCCTAAGCAGTATTTTAAATAACATTTAAAATAATCTATTAAAATAATTCTAATTACAATAGACCTAACAACACAATCCTTTCCATCTTTACTCAGAAGTAAGCCCCATTGTATTCAATAGGAATTACAGGAAAGTGCATAGAATTTTAGACACAATGACTGAATTATAAGACAAAAACGCATTTGAGAATACTTAGTTAATGGCTCTTTCTTTGTATGTAAACGGTACCTGCAAAGAAAGTGCAAGGGTGAATACACTAAATCCACCTCTTCCTTGTTCTTTTTACCCTCTACATATGGAGACTGTCTTCAGAGGAAAGTTTTCTCTGTGGAGGCTTTGCGGAGATCTTAGAACCCCACTTTTCTAAAAATTCTGGGAAGTAATTCTCCTGTGAAGACAGTCCTTCTCCACATGTCATGTATTCCAAGAATGGAGGGATGTATTCTTCTCATCCTCCCGTTCATTAGGAGAATGGTTAACTTGGGATAACGTCAGAACTTTCGTGGCCTCAGCTAAACAATATATGCTTAAATAAAGTCAAAATCAGTATGCTCAAGCATGTATCTGTGTTGGATTGTATTCTTCTTTCCAAAGAAATTTTATGAGTTGTGAGATAGAGACATATTCATGATAAACCAAAGCTGATGGGGGAAGAGCTTACAGTTTCTACTGTAAAGTGTCAACACAGCAGCTATATCTCTCACTGGTGAGACATTAAGATTTTGTCTGGTGCACCTGCAGCTGGAGTATTGTGTTCAGTTCTGGGCACCTCAGTAGAAGAGGGATATAGCATGATTGGAATCAGTGCAGCGAAGGGCCACTAGGATGGTGGCTGGTTTGCAGGGGAAGCTGTATGAAGAGACTGAGGGAGCTGGGTCTTTTCAGGCTTGAGAGGAGGAGACTCAGAGGGGACCTGTTAGCAACATACAGGTACATGAAGGGGTGCTATGCAGATGTGGGTCATGACCTCTTTCCCCCTGCAGTAGATTTAGGGTAGATGCCCGTAAGTACTTCCTGAAGGTTAGGACTCCTAGGGTATGGAATGGGCTTCAACAGGAGGTGGTTGAAGCCCCAACGGTGAGGATGTTTAAGGATAGGCTGGACATGCACATTGTAGGCATGTCATGAGTGGAGCTGGCTAGAGCTGGGGGTCAGACTAGATGGCCCAGGAGGCCCCTTCTGACTCACTCTGTTTCTATGTTTCTGTGTATGTTGGCTTTTAGAGTTTTGGCAATGTAATACAATATTTAGAGTTTTACTGAAGGGATTTTCTTTAATTTTTGAAAGCAGTATCAATGTTAGGGAGGGAAGAGGTATACACTTTTAAGTTTTCTGTAGTACTTCACAGAAATGGCTAAAAATCTCCTTTTGGCTCCTAATTCTTTTATTAAGAGTGCTCTGCTTGATCAGTATTTTCCCTCTGCTGCTCTAGACTCAAAGACCTGATAAACAAAGCTTCTGTGATGCTATTTATGAAGGGAAATAAGCAGGTAAGCTGCTTGAAAATGCTTTGCTAATTACTTAGACTTCTTATAACAAAGTGAAAGATAAATCCTTGATTTAATATTTATTTAGTTAAAATATTTATATACCATGGTTCAGTGGTGTGTTCAGGGGGGCAAGTGTGAGCTGCCCCCAGGCTTTGTTGCGATGGGGGCGGCATAGAAATGTTTTAAATAAATAAATAAATAAATAAATAAATAAGTGTGGGGAAAGGTCTGTTTAAATCAGACTTTGTATGTGGTCTGGCAGCCTCTTCTGTAATTGTGAGTGCAAGAATAAGCGCAGCTATGATTGCACAAAATGGCTCATATCCTGCTGTTGAAAAAGTTCTTAAGCACATGAAGACAAATGAAGTGTAGTTTACAAGGAGTTCCTCAGGCAGGGCTGGGAACCTGGGGTCTTCCAGATGTTGGCATATGTTTTCAGTAATCCCCAATCACTGGTCATGCTGCTCAGGGATGGTGAGATTTGTAGTCCAAACAGGAGGGCCTGAGGTTCCCCACCCCTGCTGACTTTTGGATGGCCTGGTCTCATTTTTCAATGGTCTTCTCCAAGTTAATTGGACATCACATCTGGAGGGCACTAGGTTTGTGTAAGGAAAACCTGAATATCCAAAGATTCTGTTCATAGGTTATAAATATATATTTGCAATTAATATATACCTCTATTTGGAAATTGCTATAATATTTATGTAATATACTAGAGTCGTGTTTTTTTTTCCCTTGTAGATGGCAAAGTGTGGGTTCAGCAAGCAAATTCTAGAAATTCTAAACAATACCAGGTATGCAAGTATTCTTTCTTAAACATACCCTTCTTCAAATATTTGTGCTAGTTGTGCTTCTAATTTAAGAAACCTGGTTTCTGCTTTTCAGTCTTCAGAGTATTTGGGTCTCCCATTTCCCATTTCCCCCTATTGCTTTCCCTTACTACTGTTTACCCTCCAGGTTGCTTTCATCTGCAGGGTTTTATGCTACTGGCCCTAATTACAAGACCTCATACATAATGGACAGCTGCTTCCATGTGATTGCATATTTGCATCATGATATATAAAGTCAGTGTTGATCCCACGGTAAGCCGACAGAGAAAGCGGTAGACACCACCTTCACTGAATCAGACACTTTTTCCAGCAACCCCTTGTTTGATTACTAAGACTTAGTTCACATTGTTGGTAATGAAATTGCAGTCTATGTTCTGGCACCCACTGTCTTCTGCTAAGTTAAATAATACAGGGATATTCCACCCCCGAGTTTGTTCTGACATCCAAGACCTGCAATTGGAGGCTGCTGTAGAAAGAGCAACCCAAATGTGTAACCATGATTCATTCTGGGTTTTTCTCCTATTGCAGTTTCCCATTCCAGGTTGGGATGTCACAGTACATAGAGATGTAGTATCCCTGGCTTGTAAAATGAGAGTGGTCATGAGCCAGTATGCTTGCTTGCTTCCATTTTTGAATGACTACTGAAGAACATGTGCTGAAGAACAAGCTGCATCAACAGCAAAAGTTTCATATAGCTCATTCCTCCAATAGAATATAGGGCAGCGGTCTTCTCCATGCCCCAAACCCCAAAGGATCATTATAGTAAAACTGTTTTAAAAATATATGCATATTTAAATCTGTGTTTTAAAATATATTTAGACATATTAATTGGTTTGTATAGATTGCTCTTTTGTCTAAGAAAAGCTCTTCAGTTTGTTCATTTTCCTCTTTCTTAGGATATTTCAACAATATATTCAATCTTATGTAACAATCTTATCATAAGATAACTTATCTTTAACTTTTTTGCTGTTTTTAGATTCAGTCTCTGAACTGACTTCATAGCTAAAAAGTAACAGAAATAAGTGGCTGAAACTTTGTAGCCTGGATAATAAAACATAGCTTTTTTCTGTTTCTAGTATTGATTATGAAACTTTTGATATATTGGAGGATGAAGAGGTATGTTGCTTATGTGCTCTTCTTATATTAACCAATTTTGAAATCCATTGTGTACCACATTAACCAGGACTATTCTCCTTAGGTGCGACAAGGATTAAAAAAGTATTCAAACTGGCCAACCTACCCACAGTTGTATGTCAAAGGTGAACTCATTGGAGGCCTGGATATTGTTAAGGTAACAAAAGAATTGTAGTTGAAAAGTATGTACTGAGTTTATACTTTGGTTTTCTTACTAATTTTTTATTCTTCAAAGTGTTGGTAATCATCTTTCAAAGCCTTAAGTAGCTCTGGACACCTGAGGGACCATTTCTTCCTATACCAGACTGTCTGCTCCTTAAGATTCACTGGGGACGCTTTTCTTTGAGTCTCTCCTGTACCAAAACACAATGGGTCAGACTGACAGATTATGACCAGATTAGAGAATGCCCCATCCCATGAGATTGCTTGGCTTTCCCTTGCATTGTTTTTTCCCAATAATGAAAAAATGTTTTTTTTATGGCAAGCATTTGACCTGCTAGGCTGATGACTTTTATGGATCTCTCCTTTTCATTTTTTTATCTGCTGATAATATGAACATTTTTAAGTGTTAATGCTATTTTATTTTAATGCTAATTGTTGCAAGCTGCCCTGAGCAATGTTTACACACTGGAAGGATGACTCTTAGGTATTCCTACTTACATATAGTTTGATCTCCTTGTGCGTTACTTATGATTCGTAAAACAGTGAATTTTCCTTATTGTCCCAAACACTAGCTTCTGTTCTCTTAATTCAGGCAATGAAATTGGTGTAATTGTGTGTGAGAATTTTAGAATATTAGTAACTTTTTCCTTTTATTATAACCCCCCATTTTTTATCTGAAATTGACTTAGTTGGGCTTTCCTGTGACTTTGTCATTAGCTTAATATACTGGTGCAAGGAGCTTCAAGTCTCCAGTGGGCAACTGTATTGCCTGCTAATGTAGCACTGAAATGTATCTTCTTGACAGCAGTCAGTTGGCTTTCTGTGAGAATCATTTTCCCCAGTGGGTGCATTTACAGCTTTCATTTGGGTCTTACTTTTTGTTCTTGACATTGCCTTTTCTCGGATAAGGTGATGACATTTTGCCTAGCAAACTGTCTCACTCCTGAAGAAAGGTAAGGTTTTATTGTGTACTGTTTTTCAAAAGGCCCCAAAGCAACAAAAATAGATCTGCATTTGTTACTGCATCTTTTGATATTTGTGTGTGTGCTCACATAATAGAACAAGCACCGGCTTCTCAACCAAATACTCTTGAGCCTCTTCTTGTCTTGAATGTTTTATAGCCAGTACCATAGGCATTTTAACTCCTGGGAAGACAGAATCAATAAATCTCATTAAGTTTTAAAAATAAGTTGATGTTGCTTAGCTCCTGTACCCACCCCCCCTTTTAGCAAAAGATGTTTAGCACAGTACTGTATTCAGATGCTGCTTTTAGTTTATGACCTATATAGTTTTAAAGGTTGGAAAAATTAATATTTTTGGTGCACACAAATGTTTCTCCTATTCAATTTGCTTTTTGAGAGTTGAGAAATTTATTTTAGAGGACAAATTGTGTTTGCACTTTAGTTATTGTTGAACATTTGGCGACATCAAGCAACCTCTTTTCCTTTGTTACTCTTAATAAGAAAAAGAATGCTCCATATATCTATTTAGTCTTTGCTTTCTTGGTCTCTGCATCATACACATGGGCTCTCTGCCTGCATGGGGCCTGTTGTCAGGAAGATTTCCTAGCTAAGTGTTCTGGCAGGACTCCCACCCTTTCCCCCTGAAGTATATAAAAGAGGGGCTCCTGCCATTTTTCCCAGTTCATTTCTGTCCACCATTTGGGTGCCTCAGGTTTGTTCATTTCCTTCTTTCCCTATTTTCTCACAGTTTTACTTCTTAAACCCTGTCTCCTTAATTAATTACTTGATATTTTCTCCAACCTATATCCATCTCTATATATATATATTTAAATCTTTCTATTGTCTCCCTCAGTAATCTATTTCTTCACTAGTGTCCCCCCATCCCCATCCCCCCGCTTTCTCAACTCAATGACACTCATGGCAGTGTTTTGGAAATGTATATGTTGTGGCACAAAAATGCCCTCAACCAATGGACACTCAATCTTTCTCTTCTGCTTGGGTGAAGACCACAAAGTAGCTACTTGTCTGCAACGCCAAGCCTTCACCAGGCAGGCTAGAAAGAACCCAGCTGGCTGCCTAAAGCACAAAATGTGGACCCATGCACTTGCATCAGTCAATATAGTAACCTCGGTTTTATCAGAATTCCCCTCTACCTCTGGGACAACTCTGATGTCTCTCCCACCATCAGCAGCTCCTGGGGTCCCACCAGCTGTATTACTCAAGCTGGGGCACTCAATGGTCGAAGATAGGCCCAAAAGGAGCCTCAAAATGGCAGCTAAAAGTGGTGACAAAACAGCGACTAAGACTGCAAAGGAAAAGTTGAAGAAATGGGCTCAACACCATTTATCATCTGAAACGAACCATTTGCCTGTTCCAACACCAGTCTTACCAATAGAAGCTAGGCTCTTTGGTTACTGTGCTGCATCCACCATCAGGCTTGATGCTGTGAGTAGAGCAGAAAACCTCTCTGTCCCTCTCAAAGGCGAGATACGGGAATCTCCGCCTCAACACTGTTAATCCCACCACCACTCTTGCCTCCAAGACCAGTTTGTGAACCAGTTCCTAGCCGCTTATATGAACCAATCTCTTCAGCTCCTTCCTCAGCCTCCAGTCAATGCCCAGAGGAACCATCTCAATCTCCTATTAATGTCTGGGGAAGAAAACCCCAGTGGATGCCTCAGTCACTAGCTGTTCTTTATGGATATATCCATGGAAACTGAAACCAAGGGATCCAGGATACTTACACTGGAATACTTCCACCTATATTCCAGAGGACTCATGGGCTACTGTTCCATTAGTTCATATGCCAGCACTGTCACAACATCCAAGGACACTGATTCCTGCCAGCCAGCCATTCATCTCAGCCCTTCAACTTCCACCTTCTTGCCAGTCAGCATTAGCTTGCTCTCCATTCTTGCCATCAGGTTGCTCCTCCTTGTCTACCACTGATGATTATGCCTTGCACTCTGACCAGTTGCTCTATGATGAACCAGTTTCTACATCCCTGGAGGATTTTATCATAACACAATTTCCGAGATACCCCTCCAAGGACTTGGGAAGGTTCTCTGAGCAGGTCCTCTGGACAGCAATGTCACTTGGTTTGGAAAGCCAGCAGTTAACCAAACCACCAATCAATCCAATATACAATGGTGTCTGGATGGAGGACATTGTTTTGGTGGTCATTCCATTTGTTCCAACTCTCCTAAATGCCATGAAAGAACCTTGAAAGGCCCAAGAAAGAACCTCTCATACAGCAACCTCAAGATGTTCCCTCTTGCATCCAGCAGTCCACAAAGAAATGGTTGGATGCTGAGAAGCAACCTTACTGACTGCTAAGCTGAACCAGTCTCTTATCATCAACTATTTGGTTTGATGGCCATCTTAAAACTTTCCTTTCCAACAGGAAGCCGTAACATTGGATAGGTGGGTTCTTTCCATCATAGAATTTGGATACCACATAGAATTTGCAAGCCTCCCACCACTCCAGCCTCAGCCATCCTAACAAATGAGGTAGCAATAGTTGGAGCAAAGGGAGCACTCTGACCCATTTCACCATCCAATCTCTGACATGGTTTCTACTCCTGTTACTTTACCATTCTGAAAAAGGATGGTGGCCTCCATCCCATCCTGGACCTAAGGAGCATGAACTTCTACATCTCTCATAAGAAGTTCTGCATGGTCTCTTTGGACCAGTCTCAAGGGGACTGGTTTGGCTTTATTTACGGGATGCATATTTTCTTGTCTATATACAGCTAGATTATAGACATTTCCGTCAATTCTGTATTGGCCCTGGAGCCTTCAAATTCTGCAAGCTCCCCTTTGGCCTATCCACAGCCCCTCAGGTGATCACAAATGCATGGTAGTAGTCCGTGCACATCGTTGAGTTTAAGGGAAATGAATATTCCTGTATCTGGATAACTAGCTCTTGACTGTCCCATCCTTGGAGGACTTGGTAGTTTCTATCCACACTACTTGCTATCTGTTGGAGACACTAGGACTCTACATTAATGAGGAAACGTCTACTCTTTCCTTCTATTTTTGATCCTTTACATTGGTGCCAGGGTGGACTCTGTGGATGCCTGAGCATACATAATTACTCAAGAGTGAACAGCAACTGTAACCATGTTGGTCCTACACCTCCATCTAGAGCACAGGACTACTGTGCAGCAAGTACAGCTACTTCTAGGACTGATGGCTTCAGTGATATTGGTCATAAAGTTCACACACCTGCGAATGTGACCTCTTCAGTTACGATTCTTACATACCTACTATCCTTGAAGACACTCCATTCAGAAGCACTTGATATTCCCTTGTTCTCTACAAACAAGCCTCATCTGGTCAACTATAGGCAACATCCTCTCCAATGGAATTGCCTTTACACCCAAGAGCCAGAGCTAACTGTAACTACATCCCTATGGAGATGGAGAATACACTGTGCCAGCAAGAAAACACATGGACTATGGAATGGGCAGGAACGCAGCAGTCATATCAACTTACTAGAAATTCTTGTGTTGCAAAAAGCACTACTGTCCTCCTAACAGCTTCTCAAGAATGAGCACATTCAGATAGCTTCAGACAACACTGTGGTGGTCTATTTAAACAAGCAGGGTGGAACATGATCCATCTCCCTAACCTGCCTCACACTAGAGATTTGGAGCTGATGTTTGGAAAGGAACACCACCATTGTAGTAGTCCACTTAGCTGAGATTTACAACAGGACAGCTGACAGCCTGAGCAGAAGGCCAGATGGGACCTTTGTTGGTTTATATTTCCATTTATATGTCACCTACTACCCAAAGGCCTCAAGGTGGCTCACAATAAAAGGTATAAATATATTAGTAAATTAATAAGCCAAAATCAAAAATATAAATCCTTATAATAACATAATAAGACAGTGAATGGGATGACAGGATTAATTTAATTAATGGGATGACAGGATCAATTATTTAAAAAGTCATTTAAAAGGAATGTTTCTGCCTGGCACTGAAAAAATAATAGAGACTGTGCCAGCCATCCTGTCCCTAGGGCAGGAAACAGGCACCAAGAAGGCCCTTCTTTTACTTGCCATTCCCCTCATCTTTTTGAGGGATAGCACTTGCAGAAGGGCCTCCTGTCCTGATCTTAAGGGATTAGCAGGCTTATATGGGAGGAAGCAGTCCTTTAGGTAGCCAGGTCCTAAGCCTTTTAGGACTTTATATGTCATAGCAAGCACCCTGAATTGGGCCCAGGCAGCAACTGGTACCCAGTGCAATTCTTTCAGCATTGGAGTGATGTATGTCCTAAAAGGCTACTGATTACCATTTTTGCTGCTCTGTTTTGTGCTAGTTGCAATTTCCAAACCATCTTCATGGGCAGCCACACATACAGCATGTTGCAGTAATCTATCCTGGATGTTACCATGGCACAGGTGACTGTTTTCAGGCTTATCCGGGTAGGGGTATAGTTGGTAGATCTGACATAGTTGTAAGAAGGCACCCCTGGTCATCGAGTGCACCTGTGCTTCCAAGGACAGTAGTGGATCCAAGAGACCCCCAAACTATGAACCCTTTTCCTGAGGCGGAGTGTGACCCCATCAAGGACAGGGAAATGTCCTTCCATCCTGTCGGGCTGACTCTACCAGCAGCAACTCTGTTTGGTCTGGATTAAGTTTCAGTTTATTGACTCTTATGGAGTCTATTATTGAGTCTAGGTGTTGGTTTAGGACAGCCTCACCTGGATTAGATGAAAATGAGAGGTAGGTACTGCAGGGGGGAAGGGGTGGTGCCAGGTGAAAACTTGTTCTCCTGGGCATTTTAAGAGCAATTTTTCTTTTTGGTTTAATTTTGCACTGTGTTTTTTGTTTAAATATGTATACTGTACTTTTAATGTATTAAACACTGCCTGGAGAGGGTTGTTGTTCAGCTGAAAATATCAGGGAACAAACAGGATATCTAGTTGTAGGATTGCCAAGCTCAGGCATGCCAGACTTCTAGAACAAATTGAAGCTTTAATTTCTATTTCCATCCTCTTGGTAGATGTACAGTAAAACAGCTGAATGAAAAACAACAAAACACTGTTGAATATGGACTTTATCTAGCAGAAATGTTGAATGACTTGCTACAGATTTCTTATGACATCAGTTTCTAAATGTTTTCTTCCTCTCTCTATTTCCAGGAATTGAAAGAAAATGGTGAGTTGTCAGCAATCCTGCAAGGAGAAAATTAATGCAAATGAACATATTAATGAAGATACTACTAATAAAAAAGATTGTTTAATGCACTAGAATTCTTGATGACTTGTCCTTGAGGGAAGTAGACTGCCATTTCTGACTTTCTCTTCATACTTCACAAGGCCATGCTAAAGGTCTGTAGAAATGTCAGCTTTTGCCCAAAAGTAAGGTTGGAAGCATCCAAAAAATGAATTAAAGTTGGAATTCAAAAATGTGTGTGTAGTCTTCCTGTGTTTACTCCTTCCACATAAGAATGTTAACTTGTCCTAAATGCTTGGACAACTAGTCTTTCAGTCACCACAAAGACTTGTGTCATCTCCAGTAGTTCTCACCCAGTACCTTGGCTATACTGGGATGTGCTTTGTATAGTGACAAGCTCCAGTAAGGTTGAAAGATGATGTGGTCAAGCAGCATGCCAGTAGAATTCAACAGGTCAGATTCAAGAATGAGAATGTCAGCTGACCGTAAGTGATGAAGAACATAAGCCTGTACAGCTGCTTAGATGATGCTCCAGCTCCAGCCTTGAGAAAGCATTCTGAATTTGGTGCACCATCCTTCTGCCCCTGCAGATAGTGTGGCAATTTGCATAACTTGTGGTTCTTTCTGTGTCAGATGTGGCTCCAAAGTTGCAAGCATGCCTTTGGAGCTGGTGCTGGAGAGGGAAGAATACAAGGAATCCTAGTTAATCCTCAAGCCCTTCCTCCTCACAAGCAGGCTAAAACACTTTGTGCTTCTACTGGATGCCTGTAATCCTTCATGTTTGTGGGTTGCAAGCAGCCGTATTGAATGGCACCCTTTTAAGCCCTGCGGCCTGGTCCACTTCAGATTCAAGGATACTTGGGAAGAAATGAAACCACTCATGTCAAATATGTTATTGAATGATGAATGTTATTTATTAAATACAGTGATATTTGCAGAATATGAGCAAGCAAAAGCAAGTTTATATTCTCTCTGTGTGTAGCTGTGTTGGTTCCCTGGAAAGAAAAAGAAAAAAAAAAAACGAGTGCTCCATAGGCCTTCAATTACCTGGACAAGTAACAGAGTAACACATCAGTTCTCCCCAAGCAGAGTGTTAGTGGTGGTGTTGGTAAGACAATGCCTTTTGCCATTGATTTTATAAAGTTGTTCTAGTGTTTCAGAGGCTGTAAGTGCACACAAGGTCTAACCCCACTTTTTAGGAGATTAGGAGACACAGCTGCTTTAGTAAAGCAATTTTATACTTGCAGGCAATTATCACTGATGTTTCTTCTAAGCTGAAGGCCTTGTAATGGCTCCAAAAAACTATCCAATTTGTTGGTCATTGGGATATTCTATTTCCCGTTGTGAACTGTAATAAGCTCCTTGCTATTCTTCCAGTAGAGCCCATACAATATTAACAAATTTGGTTATCTGTCTGCCCCAGCTGTTAGTGGAAGCTGCCTCTTATTGATATAAAATCCTGCATGTTCATGTGGAAATATTCTGAGCCTTCTGGTTGGAATACTAGGTACTAATAAAGATTAAAGGAGTTGCCAAATAGATAGCTAAAACAATTACAAATAAATGAACTAAGAGTATTTCCTCTATTACTGAATGTAAGTGGTACGTACTGACAAATTGAGCTAATATGGATCAGTTGCAAAAAATGAGGTAAAGTATTGGCATGGTTGAGATGAACTCCAAAGTTTGCAGTAGTGAAAATGCATAAGGGACACCTGCTCTCCAAAGAAATGGAAAAGCAGGGAGAGGGGAATAGAATGGGATATTCTGGAGGATGGCATGATTGGGTAGATTCTTAACTAATGATAAATAGGCTTTACCTGTCATAGGAACTCTTATCAGTGTGCTTCATTATCTTCCCCTTTCTTCTACTCTAACAAACCTTTCCCAACATAATCCCTCAAATTCATTCAAGCATATTCCAACTTTCTTCAGCACTCCATGTATTTGTCCAGATCCCATGAAGGGTAGCAAGCATGGCTTAAATGAGAGGAAAGTTAATTCCTGGAAGAGTAGACAATATTTTTATCCTTCATGCTTCTATATTTAGGCCAGACTAGGAGGAAATGACTGAGCCCAAGGTCCCCTTCAAATCACAGAGACATATTTCTTTAGGCCCCTACAAGTCTTGATGGTAGCAAGCTTGTTTGCAATATATGCTTGTTCAACAAATAACTTGGCTGATAGTACAGAATAGGGTGTTTCTGCCCCATCTGGAACAAATTGGAAGGAATAGTTGGGAATCATAGAATCAGAATAGTAGAGTTTAAAGGGGCCATGAGGACTATCAGGACCAGCATGTTGCAGTACACCATTTTACACTATCCCACTCAGATGACTGTCCAGTTTCAGCTTAAATGTGTTCTACTCTGTACCAGCAAGAAGAGATCTTGACCTTCCTCTTTCTGACAGCCTTTGTGGTACTTATAGAGTGATCTCATGTCTCCTCTCAGTCTTCTCAAGGCTGAACAAGCCCAGTTCTCAGTCTGTCCTCATAGCTCATTGTTCTTCGTCGTGGCCTCTGTGCATCACACATATGGGTGCTGCGCCTGCGCAGTGCCTAGGCCGGAAAGATTGAAAGCTAACAGTTTCGGCGGGAAAAACTCCCCTCCCCCTCCCCTCGGTAGTATATATAGTGCAGAGTGTCTGCCATTTTCTCCAGTCTTTTGTGGCCGCCGTTCGCTGTGCCTCGTGCCTGTTCGTCTCTCGCTTGACTCAGTATTGTTCATTACTTGCCGTTTATCTTCTTACTCTTATTCCAAGTTGTTATTCCCTCGTTCCAGTTTATATCTTCTTTTTCTCTTTACTTGTTCCTATAAAGAAAACAAAAAACCAAAAATATATTACTTTTCCCTCTTTCTATATTCTATTTCTTTTTCTGCGATGGCGCAGCGAGCGGCCTTCCGCAAATGTGCGGAATTGTGGGTCCAAAATGTCTCCGGCAGACCCACATGACTTGTGCCTCCTCTGCCTCGGTGAGGGGCACAGGACTGATAAATGCCGTCATTGCCTTGCTTTCACTAAGCAAGCGTGAAAGAATAGGGAGAACCGGCTGCGCAAACTCCTTTGGGATCAAGCGCTGATGCAATCCAATCAGCCTGCAGGAAAACCCGGGCCAGCGCATGCTCCATCTGCTAAGCACAAGGCCTCAGCCTCGTCCGAGCTGGTTCAACGCCCAGCCTCTTCCGCAGGCATGTCTGGGCAACGCCCTTCGCCCATGCCGCCTATGCCGCAGCCGCAACCATCCAATGGTGGAAATTCCCCCCCCAGGGGCTCAGTTACCTCTTTCCCCCCCTTGTAAACAATGGGAAAAGAGGAAGCACAGGGAATCAAATCACAGGGCTCACAAAAAGGCGAAGAAAGATAAGGCAGCAAAACCGTCTCGTAAGAGGCATTGGGATTCAGGTTTGACAGCCCCATCGATCCCGATGGCAGCTTCGGTACCAACACCATCGGTACCAATGCTTCAGGCAGTGATGCAGGTTACTCCTCTGGGGTCACCGATGCAATCTGCTCCTCAACAGGGCATGCCTATTCCACTGCCCAAAGAGCAGCATCGTGAGTCAATGTCCGATGGGGAGATTCAGGATTCTTCGAGGGCCCGGTCCCCGACTCCTATGCCTACAGCAAGAGCTAGAGACCGATCTCCATCACCACCACCTCGGACCCGGATGGACGAGAGGCAGGAAGAAGGATGGTTCTGACCCTACTATGACTACCCGAGGGGTTGGGAGGACTACCATTCTTTTGGATTTTGTCCTCACCCACGGGATCGTTCTTCACCCTCTGTTCATGAGGATCTGCTGTCTACTTCCCGGCATGTTGAACCTGACCGTCCCACTTCTCCAGGGACCTTCTCATCGGAACCATACCATCCCGGACCTGACTCAGGCTCGGATGCCGACTCTACCTCCCCAGACGGCATGATTGCATCTCAAGGCCCGCCTGAAGAACCCCACATTTCATTCGGAGAGCTTATGTCTAGACTTGTTTGGTCGCTCGAGATCGAGGCGCAACATCAGCCAGATCCGAGCACTGACAAGTTCTATGACATTGTTCGGGGAGAACAATCACCAGCAATCGTCTTGCCGCTTATTACAACTCTGTGGCAGGCGATGACGCAACCATGGGACTTGCCTTCTCAAACTCAACCTACGGTGAGAAGATACAAGTCCATGTATTGGGTCCGAGAGAGTGACATCCCCTTTCTGCTTCACCACCCTAAGCCAAACTCTGTGGTGGTCGAATCATCTCAGGGCAGGGAAGCTAGAGGCCATACCACCCCCAGAGATAAGGGTGCAAGATTGATACCCTGGCACGCAGGGTCTATGCGGCTGCAGGACTCGGGCTTCAGATGTCCAACTATGAAGCCACCCTCGCTAGGTATCAATTCTTTATTATGCAGAGGCTGAATAATATCATCACTCCCCTGCCTGAGCAACAAAGGGACCTTGCCAGAACCTTCATTAAAGAGGGGATGCAAGTCGCCATTCAACAATTAACCACAGTATGCCACCATGTGGATACGGACTTGAGAGCGCTTGTGGGGGCTGTCTCACTGAGAAGGCATGCCTGGTTGCAAAATTGCAACTTCCCCGATGAAATGAAGTGGCGAATAGAGGAAATGCCTTTTGACGGCTCCGGGCTTTTTCACTTCTGCACCGATCACAAGTTAAAGTCAATCCATGAATCCCGGATGATGGCCAGACGCATGGAACTGCCCGGACAGAACAAACGTAAGTGGTCATGGTCACGCCCATCCTACTGCTATCAGCCGCCGCAGCGACAGTACCAACAGAGGCCACAACGCAGAAGGTAACAACCTCATCAGCGTTTTCCACAAAATTGTCGACATTTCGATACTGAGAAGCGTCAACGCTGATGGGACGTGCGAAGCTCTCCTCCACCTCCATACCCACCCTTCCCCCTCCCTCTTGGGGAACGGCTGCAAGGCCGACTCCCCATTTGGGAGTCCATTACATCTGATCGGTGGGTCCTGTCAATTATTCAGCTCGGATACAGAATGGAATTCGATACCGTTCCTCCATCGAGCCCGATTCAATTTACACCGCACTCCCCAGTGTTAGTGAACGAAGTGCGACAACTGCTTCAGAAGGGAGCGATTCGACAGGTTTCCAGTTCCGAGGGACTGTACGGATTCTACTCTAGATATTTTACGGTCCCAAAACGAGACGGTGGTCTTAGTCTGATTTTGGACCTCGGGGTATCAACAAA